CCTGGAATTCTGGCACAGGAGCTGCTTTAGGACAGGGTTAGCCTGGAATTCTGGCACAGGAGCTGCTTTAGGACAGGGTTAGCCTGGAATTCTGTCACAGGAGCTGCTTTAGGACAGGGTTAGCCTGGAATTCTGTCCCCTCCCATGCTGGGTGCAATCTCCCCTTGTTCACAAGCTGCACCTGCTCCAGCAGAGTTCAGAGGCAAAAAAAGGGAATTATCCCAATGAGGTGCAGCTGGAGCCCCCCCTCAGCTGCCCTGAACCCCCTCATTAGCTCAGGGCCCAACCAGAGCTGCTCCCACTCCCTTTTCCCACCCTCCCCACACCTGGAATTCATTCTGACCATTCCTTGAAGCCCAGCCAGGCTGGAAGGGGGATTGTTTTCCTTCCCCAAGGAGCAGCTTTGGAGGGAGCAGTGAAGTTGTGGGGCTCCAGTTGTTCTGCTTGTCCCAAAGTAAGTTTTCCTTCTTTCATTCCAATGATCTATTTGCCTGAAAGGAAAGAAAAAGGTGTGTTTGGGAAAGCTGTGTTTTGTGGCAATGATTTAAAATATGGGCAGGGAAGGGGTTTTTTTGCTCGTGGGGCTCAGTTTTTTCAGTGGGATCTTCACTCCAGGTCCTGCAGGAGTTTTGTGGTGGCTCTGCAGGGATGTTCTGGTGCCATTTGTGCTTCTGGGCTTGCTCTGCTGCTGCTGCTCCAGGTTATCCCGGGTTCTTGGGCTGAATTCCAGAGGGGAAGAGACAAAAATGTGCTTGGAGGAGCTCTGAGTGTCTGGGCTGAGCTGCCTGAGGTGGAACCTCCTGGAACTCTGGGGGGTTTGGAGTGACTTGTGACTTTCCAAGATTTGCAGGAGCTCTCCCAGGGGATCAGAGTGTTTGGGAAGAGTGGGAATATTCTGGGGGTTGTCCTGTTTTGAATGTTATTTGGTTTTTTTACCTTTGAGTGCTGTGCTCTAAACTAGAAGGGAACCTTCAAACAAAAGTGAGAAACGGAGCTGTTGCACTTAAAAAAGTGTCAAAACATTTAAATGCTTTCTAGTTGCTCAGAAAGACTGTGAGGAACTCATGGAATATGTCAAGCTTTGGAATTTATCCTTTTTCTTGCTGGAACAAAACTTTTGTGGGAGGGGAGGGAAGAAATGTCCCAGGTGGAGCAGGAAAGATGCTGGTGGATGGGAAAGAGCTGCTCTCCAATCCTACATGGGACAACCTGTTCTTCCAGGAATTTTGTTCCTGTTCTTCCAGGAATTTTGTTCCTGTTCTTCCAGGAATTTTGTTCCTGTTCTTCCAGGAATTTTGTTCCTGTTCTTCCAGGAATTTTTCCTTGTGTGACATGGCTGTGCCTGTGCCCTGAGCAGGGATTTGGGATGATCTGTTGGTGCTCCCTGTGTGTCTGGGCGAGCTCAGAGCAGCCCATGGGCCCAGCTGGGGGCTCTCAGCCTGAGGCTCCTGTTGTGCTGCAGCCCCAATTAACCAGCAGCAGTTAATTAGTGACCCCTGGCTGGGGGTGCTGAGGAGACTGGGATTGTTGGGGTTGTCCCATACTGGTCTGGATGATCCTTGTGGGTTCTTTCCCACTCGGGATATTCCCTGATTCCATGACTGGTTTGTGGGAGCAGAACCCAGGCCTGGAGTTGACGTGTGAGGAGCCTTTTCCACACTCCTGGGCCGGGATTTACCTTGGGTTGGTCTCAGTGTTGGTGGGATTTCACCTGTGTTGGTCTCAAAGCCTTCCTGGGCTGCTGGGAATCCCCACCAAGGGCAGAATTCCACCCAGGAGGAGCTGGAATTCCACAGAACCAGGACACACCAGCCCTCTGTGCCCCCCAGGGTGAGGAGCTTTGTGCAGGAGCTCTCCCAGAGACCTTCAAAGACCTTAAAGCCCCTCTCAATCCCCCTCCTCCATGGCAGGGCCACCTTCCCCTGGCCCAGCTTGCCCAGTTTGGAGCCAGTTCAATTAATCTGTGTGTTCTTCTGCCTCCTGGCAAAGCTGAGCTGCCCCTCAGGCACCAAAACCACCCCCCAGTTCTGCTGCTGGGATTAATA